GGGGGGGGGGGGGGAGCCTCGCGCACGGCTTCCCCGCCCTCTTGTCCCCGCCCACTTGTTGAGCATTTAATTGACCCCGCCCACAGACAGCGTGAATCCGAGGTGACCACGCCCCCTCATGAATAATTAACGCCGGCGGCCGTTGGGCCTCCATTTTGGAGTGAGGGGAGGGCTGGGGGTGGCTGGGCGGCCAGTGCCGGTCACAGTGGGCCGATACTCGCCTCCAGACGGCTCCTGCCTGGGCGAGGTGGGTTATCGGAGCTCAAAGGGGCCGTTTGGTGTCTTTAGGGGCTGTTTGATGACCTCAGGGGCCGTTTGGTGTCAGGGTTGTCACGATGGCGGCTGGTGTGGGAGCGTGAGGTGAGGCAGGGCCTATGGCGGCACATCCCGGTGTGAGGAACTGCATGGAGCATCGCTCTGGTTTGTGAGCGTTATGGAGCTGTAGGTCTTCTCTGTAGGTTGCTAGTGACCAAGCCTCAGTGAACCCCTGGTCTGTGTGGTCTCACCCCTCCCGTGTCCTGTGAGGCTGTTCTGTCTGAGACTAGGCCCCACCAAACCCCATCTTCGGTCTCCTGAGGTAAAACATGGCCCCAAGACAGCGGTGCCCTGCCCCAGTGTTTGCTAACGTCAGAGAAGAAGTTCTGTGCCCTGCTCTCTCAACAGGGTGCTGCAGGACAAACTTACACAGGAGCGTGAAGCCTGTGTACAAATTAATTAACGCCGCGGCGGAAATATGTCACAACACAAAGTGAGCGTGCCATAACACGTGCCTGGGAGCAAAGCTGTAGCGTGATAAAACAGAACCGTGGCACAAGACCAGCTGCAGACGTTGTCGGCGGAGGCTGGGCTACAAGAAAGAGTTACAAATTGCCGTGCAGCCGTTGTCTGTTACTGCATTATACTGTAAAATAGCATTGTTCCGTGGTGCTGCCATCTCGGGAAGAGCCCGGCGAGCTGCCGTTCTGTGTTACAGCAGTAAGCAGTTCCTATTCAGTAACAAACTGGGGTCTAAAATAACTATTTCTTTTTACAAATTCCACTTCCACAGTACACAACATAACTATTTCTCCTGGTTTCTCCTGGGGATAGTCTCTGAGCCTCTCGGGAGAGGCTGGGTGCTGCTCCGAAGGCAGCTCCCATACGATGGCAGCAGAGGGCTGCAGCTGGCGGAAAGGACTTTTCCCCACTAGATTGTTTTTGGTTTTTTTCGGCTGCAGCTGGCGGAAAGGACTTTTCCCCAGTAGATTGTTGGTTTTTTTTCCCGAAGACAGTTGTTTGTTTATTTCTGGAACTTTATTGAAGGAAGCACTTCCCTTCGCCAAACTGAATCAGAAACAAAACAAAACTCAACCCCAAATACAACGATACAGCACTGTCTGTTGACTGTTGCTAAGATTAATGAGTGGGAATGCCACGACAATGGAACCACCATTGCAGGTTTTTTTGCTGAAAAGGTGAATTAGACAGAAATAATGTGCCTCCAAGGCATTTCTGCCTAGTCTGGCTGTTCCGTTGAGCAGCACCAGCCAGGTAGAGCCTAAAGATTTATGTTGTCCCTGTTTCTTTTTCCCTCTGGGAGGTGGCAGTGCCTGGCTGAGTGTCTCTGTGTGTATTTGTGTTCTGCTTCTGGGGATCCATCAGCAATTCTCTCACACGCAGAGAATGTCATTCACCTCGTCCCCATCGCAGTTTCCCTGGTTTGCAGCTTCTGTTCCACCACGAGAGAGTTGCATTTCAGGAATGGCAGAATAAAGGATTTCAGACTGTTCATTTACACCAATATCGGTGTTTCTGGTAGTTACCAGATGGTTCTTGGAGAAAGAATGTAATAAAACGGGGCAGATACAGAGTGGTTTAAGGGTTTCCTGAGTCTGAAGCTACAAACTTTACATGTTTAAAATGCAGTGCTGGGACCTACATAAATGCATCTAATGATTGGCATAATTAACAACAGGAACAGTGATACGGAGTTCTCCAATTTAATTGCGTTGTGTGGTTAAAAGTATTATCTCGTGTTTGCTTTAAATGGGCTGAATGAGTCACGGGCTTGTTTTTTCATTTGAGGCTCTGTAAATTAGTCAATGTTTGTAAACTGCTTTGGGATGACGGGATGACGGCTAATTAAGGAAAAAAAGTACAATTGAGTCGTTGGAAGCGATGGCGATGGTGGTGCTGGAGCGCTAACTGCTTATTCTATGCAGGAGTGGCCTCGTCTTGTGTACCCGATTTATCTTTGCCCTGCCTACACCCGACGTGTGAGCAGATTTATGTAACTGGGGTAAAAATACCCGGGGTGTCTCTGGTGCTCTGCTGCTGTCAGCAGCAACAGTTAAATGACAAGAGCAGGGCTGGGATGGAGGCAGCATTTCGAACATCTTGGGCTTAGAGGGCAAGACAGTCAATAGTGAGATTTTTGCCAAGAGCCCAAGCACATTGGGCATCAGAATCCCCCAGGAAGCCAGGAGGTAGCACCCAAGCCACGTTTCAGGGTGTCATTAAATTCCTCTGCAATGGCCGTGTAGACAAGATGTAAATCTTTTGGGCTGTAAAGCCAGCACTTTTTTCAGTCAATATTTCATTTACCATATGCATGATTTTCAGGAAGGACATGGAGGAGCCCTGTGATAGGAGCAGCACCTGTATTTACATGTAGAACTAGGTGGGAACAGGAAATTGGAGCTGTTTGATGGGGACACCTCCGTGGAAAAGCGAGGAAGTTTTGCGCATCGGGGTGGGGAAGTGAAGGAGCCTCCAGAGGATCCCCCAGGGCCAGGGAATGGGCTTCACAGTCTGTCCTGCCTGGACAAACCGTGTCTGGTTTTGCCAGGGAAGGGCTTTTATTTCAGGGCCGGAGAATGGCATGGGGCTGAGAAGGGGCATAGAGTATGTACATCCCGTGTCCCAGCCCAGGCCTCGGCAGTGGTTTGATTTCCAGATGTCCTTGTTCCCTTTAGGATCACCAGTGCCTTGGTTTGGGGCATGTGGGGCAGGATGGATGGATGGATGGATGGATGGATGGATGGATGGATGCAGAGGGGATGCAGGTTTGTGCCCTGGGCACGTTGTTCATCCTCCATCAGATATTAAGGATTTCCCTCACATCAGTCCTTCCTCTGCAGTTGCCAAATCCTTGCTGAGGATCTGGCCTCTTATGTTTTTCCAGCCTGCTCCTTCCTTATAAATATTCCTCTTTTTTTTTTTTTTTCCCCTATCTTCAGTGGTTCTCCATCTTCCCGTTTTGCCGAGAGAGACCAGCAGAAAAATAAGAAGCGGATTACTAAGGATTTATTAACATCTCAAATCCAGCTCCTCTGGTTTTCTGAAGAGCTGAGTGAACCCGTCAGAGTGTATGGAACTGGTGCTCTTCCTTTCTGCTCCTTTTTAAGATGCGATGCTCAGCCCCAAACAGATGGGAACCTGTCAGCACAGCACGGGGATAATTACCCCTTGGAGCCACGGGAAGCTTCGTAACGGGTAGGAAGTTACTGCAGCCAATAATACTCTGCTTGATTATCTTATCAGATTTCTCAGGCTGAGCGTGTTGCTAGGCCCCGTTATTTCTTGGAAGAAACACCAAGAAAAACCTTGTTTCCTTAGGGATTTGTATATTTCCATAGGTGAATCCTCTTTGAAGCTGTGGAGCAGCTCTGCCACAGCGGGTGTCCTGCCTGGGGAGGGACGATATCCTGCAACAGAGGTGTGGAGATATCAAGGATGTGCAATAACAAGGAATAGTGTAAATATTAAATAAATTAACCTGATGATTGCTTCTGTCATGCTTTGGGCATTGAACAGTCCCGTGTTCCTGGTGCCAAAGCTCATGGCACAAGCTGTTTTTTGGAGATTCACATACAAACTCACACATCTCTTGCTGTTGGATCCCTCCAGGCAGCGGGAGAATCATAAATCTTCATTTTTTTTGTGGACAGTCAGGCCCGGTGCGTCACCCTCACCTCTGCCAGCAAGAGAGGGTGAGGAGTTCAGGCATTCTCATCCTGGCTTTTCTTTTTTCTTATTTTTCTCTAGGTCTGGAGGCTGGCGGAGTGAAAAATCCTGCTGCAGCAAAGCGGAGTAGTGGATCTAACCCTCATGAGCAGGCACCAGGAAGCCAGTAGGTATTTGCGTGCGGCTTGTCACAGACCATGAAACCCACTATTATTCCTAAAAGAATAGCAAACCTGCTCTTTTCAGTACTTCAAAAAGAAAAGGAAAACAAATTTAAAAGCCTTTCTTAGTGTTGAAAAAAAACCCCGGCTTCTGAGATGGACGTGTGTATGATGCTTGCAGTCACCTGAGCAAGTAATTCCACTCCCCCCCTCCCCTTGAAAACACCTTTCCCTTGAGCATCTGTAAGTATTTTACAAATATTAGCGAATTTACAGTTTGTTTGTGGGAAGGAAAATTATTCCCATCCTTCCTTTCTAGATAAGGCAACCCAAGGCAGAAAGAAGTTTCGTATACAACCAGGCGAGGACTTCAGGAGCCCTCATTCCCTGCTCCCAGTCATAACCAAAGCTTAATTCCACAGCACTTGTAAAAGGCAGATTCGGAGCCGTGCAGCTATTTGAGATTTTATTCCACCACCCACAGGCCCTTTTGTAGCAATCTGCTCCCTGCTTGCTGGCACTGCTATTAATTATGGTCTGCCGTGCTGTCGTACCTGGGGCTGCAGTTGCATTTCCAGGGTGTAAACCCTTGTTTATTTGCATAATGGCTGAAGTACTTTCCCCCCCTATTCCTGGGATGCTGTTTAGTATGAAAACTCTTTGTTCTGGGGAGCTGACTTTCTTGTATATTTATATATTATAAATTATTTGCTTTTTGTGTGTGTGTGTATATACATAAAAATAGAGAGAATATATATATTCTAATTATATGTATGTTACATCTCTGCTCAGAAAAATAGAACAAGGCATTGGGAGAGTAGAATTCTTTTATCATGTTTAAATTAATTTACAGCTGCTTGTATTGTATTAGCACAGCTTCTCCCAACCTGGAAAAGACTCCTGGGAAAAGGGGGTGAACCAGGGTGTGAGGGGCTTGGGAAGGTGAAAGGGAGAATGAAAAGCAACTGATATATTACTTCTTTTTCCAATAATGCAATGTGGTCATAGCCATTGGAAGGAGGTACAGAAAGTGGTGACATTCTCTTCAGAAGGGCACAGGGTAATTAGAAGAAAATTATAGTCTTGATTCAAACCTCAATTACATCAGATTTTATCCTTGATATGTCCTGGGAACACCTCCTGATAATGATGTGTTATTACTAAGACAGAAAAGGATGTCTTTAAAAAAAAAAATCCTTGTATTCTTATAGTGTCAATTAAAAGACTACAAGATGAAAATAATTCCCATCCTGCTTCGAATTTCACATAAAATGACCAATAATCCTTTGCATGTTTTATTTTGAAAACAAAGCAGTCCAAAAGGAAGATTTTTTCTTTAATATTAAGACTGTATTCCATGCAGATAATCCATAGTAAATACATTGCATTAAAAGACAGTTAAAGTGCCTTTAGTCCCCCAAAATAGTCCAACTGTGCTGTAAATTCAAGTATGTGGAAAGTAGGCCTTTAGTTATAAAGAGAATATTTTTTTTAATGTGGGTCCTGCTCCCTTTGATGTTGAAAATGGGGGGAGGGGGAGGGTTAAGCCCCCAACTCCTGTGGGAGCAGAACCAACCTCGCGTTGGTCTCTGCTAAACCCTGTGCTGTGATTTCCCACCTGCAGGACACGGACTGATAGCCAAGGAGCAGGTTCCTGATGACATTTTCTACCTGATGACAGAGCCACACGTTCAGCAGTTGCCACCAATGGGGCTTGGAAAGACAAATGAGGAGCCAGAGCCACTGTTTGTATTTTGTATCCTCTTTTAACCAGCTGAGCCAGGGCCTGAGCACAGCCAAGAGCCCCAGCCCCTGTTATAGCTATAAAATATACAGGTTGATATACACAGACATTACAC